GGGACACAGCCATTCGCCGGCGGGGAAGCGGAGTCGGGGACCTGCAGGCTCAGGGGCTGATGTATCGGGAGCCCTTTGAGAAGTCGAAGAGAGGTAGTAGCTGCGAGGCCCTGCCCTGAGCCGCACGAGGGGATCCGAGGCCATCTTCTGTTCTCGAGAAGGCAGCCCGGCATTTTCCCCTGAGGGAGGAGGGCGAGCTGTGTGGTGTCGCCTCCGCGGAGTACGACCGGCTCTCCCTGCCCGCCGCCTCGCGCCTTCGGGCCGCCGCAGAGCGCGTTTCTTCGAGCCAAGGTACTTCTCTGACTTCTCCCTTCTCAGTCCCTTCTGCAAGGCACCTGCTGCTGGTGTCAGAAAAGAAAAATTTTGTAATACGACAAACCAACAACAAAATACAGAACGTCTCCTGCAACCACCACCAGCTCTCCCACCCCAGAAGCCCTGTCTACAAAGAAGAAATAAAGGAATAAATGGATCACCTGAAGGAGGAAGGGAGTGTCTAGTCAGAAACTGTTGGAACAGGCAACTTTTAAATACTGCTTTCTAAGTCCTGTACAACTTTCGCCCTTTAAACGTTTATGGCTCACTTTATATGATCTTTTAAATTGCTCTAATTGACTTGTAATCCTGTGCCAGTGTTTCTGGAGTTCGCCTCCTTTTGGTACTACGTTTTGGGGAGCACGGCTAATCACCAAAAACCGTTCTGTGAAAAAAAAAAAAAAAAACCTCCAGCCTTTACCAGTGCTACCAAAGAAGCCTTTGAACCATGTGGACTTTTCTTGGCATTGCCACTTTCACCTACTTTTACAAGAAATGCGGAGACTTCATGACTTTGGCCAACAAGGAGCTTCTCTTGTGCGTGCTGGTGTTCCTTTCGCTGGGCCTGGTGCTCTCCTATCGCTGTCGTCACCGAAACGCGGGTCTCCTCGGGCGCCAGCAGAGCGGCTCCCAGTTCGCGGTCTTCTCTGATATTCTTTCAGCTTTGCCTTTCATTGGCTTCTTCTGGGCCAAGTCCCCTTCTGGATCAGAAAATAAAGAAGAGCATGAGTCCAGGCGGGTAGGTAGATTTCAAAGTGGGCAGATGAATGAGTATCTTACTTTAAAATTAAGACTGGGGTTGCTCAAATGTAAATTTTCCAGTTCTAAGGTCAAAGGTGGCAGCTTAGTTATTCTGGTTGTATTTTAAAAAATGTTCTTTCCTGTTCCTTGACTATGTCCTTGACATTTTTAGAAATGACAGAAAACTTTTGTTTCATTTAGAATGGAAGCCTCAGATGGAGGTTGCATAGTGATTTGATTTTGAAAGTTGAAATGAACTGTTAAAATTTCATTTTGAAGGGCAGAATTACTTGCCATGATGAAAAAAGATCTCTTATTTAAATCCTTGAGTAAAGATTGTATTTGTACCTAGGAAGAAACAAATAAGTCCACTGCTTATAAAAAGTGACAACTGACTAGGGAAGTGACAGTTTGAAAAGCATGTAAAGAAAAATGCTCAATATTTTAAAACCTTGGTCAAAAAGTTCTTCTCTGCACATCATTGGAGCATTATTGCACCATTTCACATCAATGTCCTAAATCAAGGAAATAATTGAATAATAGCTACAGTGCAGTAATATTCTCTTGGGTCTTAAAAATCTGTGTGAGATAATGATTCCTGTGAAAGGAGCAGAGGTGGCCAATGGGGGCAGATGAGGGAGGAGAGGTGGTTGAGGCCAAGATCATTTAAGGTCTGTTGGACAGAAGTGTTTGGACTTTTCCCCAAGGGCACTGGAGGTATTTTAAGCATGAAAGTACAATTATTATTATTATTATTGCCAGAAGGCATGTGTGCTCACTAGAGATAGAGGAAGGTGAAGAAAGCACCCCCCAACATGGCGTGGTCAGACCTCAGTCCCTTTTCCATTTCTTAATTCTGTCAGGATTTGGGGCAGACATGCACACATACCTTATTTCAGGCCACTAGGGTCGAGACTTGAACCACTTGGTATGCCATGTGGGATCCAGCTCCCTTAATTACAAGGCCATGGGGCTGGCCTTTTTTTTTTTTTTTTTTTTTTTTTTGTTCTTTTTAAAAAGAACGTTCCAGTTGCTGAATGGAGACTAGACTGTGGGAGGTATAATAATGGAAGCAGGAATATCAGACAAGAAACTATAGTAATAGACCCAGTGAGAGGATTAGTGGCTTGGAGTTAGGGACAGTGACTTACAAAGTTATGTAGAATTCTGGATCTACAGTATTTACCATATTAACAGTATAGATTAACAAGGCTTTTAGAAGAGAGGGACCTTAGGGCCAGCAGTTAGCATAATGGCTATGTCCCTGGACTCCCATGTGGTTGACCTCGGTTCAAGTCCCGGACCCTGTGGCTTGAAGCTCTTGCCGGGCGCGTGCACGCGCGCGTGCCCAGGATCCCGAGGGGAGAATGGAGGAGAAGGGATTGCAGTGTGGCCATCCCCCCGGGGGGTGATTTCTCGCTTTCTGTCTGTCTTTCTGGTGAGCGCACATACCCTATAGCAAAAACCTCTCCAAAAAAAAAAAAAAAAGAGAGAGAGAGAGAGGGACCTTTGGCAAATTGCTTAGTTTCTGTAAGAATCTGTTATATGGGAGTGGTACCGCACCTTTGCTGGTAGTTAGGGAATTAAATGATTTGATGTTTGCAAAATGGCTAGTTCATAACTGCCTAATAAGTAATAGCTATTAATATATATGATCTAGATTTAAATATGTAACGGTTCATTTTGTGGGATGTTTGAGGTCTAGCTTTTACCTAAGATAAAAATAGTGGATCTTCATAGTAGTAGTTTGATTTAAGGCTAACAAATTTGGGAACATTTCACTTTTTTTAAAACAGCGGAGAAAAGGAACCAATATTTCAGAAACAACCTTAATAGGAACAGCTGCTTCTTCTACATCAATATTTTCTCAAAATGATCCAGAAGTTATCATCGTGGGATCTGGCATACTTGGCTCTGCTTTGGCAGCAGTACTTTCCAGAGATGGAAGAAAGGTGACAGTAATTGAGAGAGATTTAAATGAGCCTGACAGAATAGTTGGAGAACTTCTGCAGCCAGGTGGTTGTCACGTTCTTGAAGACCTCGGTCTTGGAGGTAGGTTCATATTGGTTTCCAGGAGATTTAGGGAGTATAACCAAACACTTTTTCAACTTAGGCTATCTATGACTAGTAAAAATATATTCTCTATTTTATTTCCATATACAATTTACAATTTGCTATACTATACTCTTTAAAATTTTTTTTAAGTTTTGCTGTAGGGTACATGCACTTACTTGCTAGAGAGGGGCAGAGAAAGGAGAAAGTGAGAAATCACCCCTCAGAGGGGATAGCCATGCCACAATCCCTTTTCCTTCATTCTCCTCTTGAGATTTTGGGCACGTTTGCACATGTGCCTGGTATGTTTTTCTTTTCTTCTTTACTTTTTAAACGAATTATTTTTATTTAACTTTATAGGGCCAGTGGACTCACCAGAGAGAAAGAGAAAGTGAGAAAGAAAACCACCAGGTCTGGGACTTGAGCCGTGGTCAGCAGTGTAGAAGTCTAGCACCCCAAGACCCACACCACCTACTGGCCTCTCTGCCTGATGTGTTTTTCAAGCCACCAGGTGTGGGACTTGAACCATGCAGTCAGCCATGTGGGATCCAGCTGCCTTAACCGTTATTCATAATTCACTCATATGCTGACAAATTTGCGTGAAAATGAGAGCTAAGGAGAAAATAAGTGTTTAGTAGTATGGGAGATGGGACTTAGAGTTAATGAGATACAATGAAATGGTTAAAAAATTGTTAATATTCAAAATTAAGGACTGGGAAAATCTGAGAATGAGGGCATGAACTTTAGTGAAAGATGAAGGGAACTATCATTAGTAGAGCACATATTATATACATGTTATAGTGTTATCACCTAGAATCTTTGATGTAAGCATCATTGATCAATTCAATTAGTGTTTTTTTTTTCTTTAAAAAATTATTTTATTTCATTTATTATCATCATTATTATTTGTTTAATTTGACCAGAGAGAGAGACCAAGAAAGAGAATGGGAAAATAGGAAAGCAAAACCTCCAGGTCTGGAACTTGAACCATGGTTGACCATGTGGGAGTCCACTGCCTTCCACTATGCCATCTGCTGGCCCCTCAATTAGTGCTTTTTTTTTTTTTTTTTTGAGGTATTTGCTACAGGGTGCCTGAGCTCGCCAGAGAGACAGAGAGACAAAAAGAGAGAAATCACCCTTCAGGGGGAATGGCCATGCTGCAGTCCCTTCTCCATTCTCTTGGGATTTTGGGCATGTACTCAGACTCACCCAGGATGAGTTTTAAGCTGCTGGATCTGGGACTTGAACTGCAGTCGACTATGTGGGAGTCCAGCAATGTAATCATTATGTCATCCGTTGGTCCCCAATTAACTGCTTTTTAAATGCCAGCTTAGTAAATATTTATTTGCTGCCTACTTTATGTGAGGTGCTATTCTGGGTACCAAGGATATGCTGGTCAATAAGACAAACTGTCTATTCTTGAGCAGCATACAAAATATACCCAGAGTATGAGAAGCAACTTGCTTGATGTGTACAGTAGGCAATATGATGTGTTCCTTGAAGTCATTGATTCTGGAAGTATGCTGCCTGGGTTTGAATGTGAGCTATGGCACTTAAAAGTTGTTCATCCTTACCTAAGCAACTTTCCAGAGATGGAAGAAATTAATAAGTAATTTAACCTTTGTGTGTTAGTTTTCTTGTTTGTAAAATGGGCATATTAAGAATCTGCCTCATATGCTATGATGAGAATTAAATTAATTCATGTACATAGACATTCATTCAATATACTGCATGGCATGTAGTAGGTACTTTGTAAGTGTTTGCTATTTTCTTTAAGGAACTGAAAAGTAGATCAATGTGTTATAGCTAGAAAGTAGTAGGTAATGGAGAAAGAGAGTGGCTTTGGAGTAAGGTTGGATAGATAAGGCAACAGCCAGATCATGCAGAGCTTTGCAGGCAATGGAGCAGGAGTGTGATATGATTTTAGATAGATAGCAACAGCCAGATCATGCAGAGCTTTGCAGGCAATGGAGCAAGAGTGTGATATGATTTTATTAATCCATCTAAAATAGAGGCTTTAGACCTTCAAACCTTCACAGTAACAAACATATTTGACATTGTGAATCAATGTCAAATTGTCATGATTTCACTTGATTATACAATTCACAATTCAGTTTTCATTTCACGTTTTACCATTAGGTCACATCTTGCTGTTTGTAGAATGCATTTTTGTTTATATATTTATTTTAAAAATTGTTTATTTAATTCTATTTGTTATTATTTTTTAATTTGACCCAAAGAGAAACAGAGAGAGAGAAAAAGGAAAATGAGAAAGCAAACTGTCAGGTCTGGGACTCAAATTGTGGTTGGCCATGTGGTAATCCAGTGCCTTTAACCACCAAGCCACCTGCTGGCCCTAGAATGTTATTTTAAAACAATACATCGGGGTACTAGCAGATGGCATAATGGTTACTTCACTGAATTCCCATGTAGTCAACCATGGTTGAGGCCCAGACCTGGTGGCTTAAGCTCACTTTGGGTGCGTGTGTGTGCATTCCCAAGATCTTGAGAGGAGAATGGAGAAAGGATTGCAATGTGGCCATCTCCTTTGCAGGGGGGTGATTTCTTGCTTTCTGTCTCCCTAGCAAGTGCACACGCCCTATAGCAAAAAACCTCTGAAGAAAAAAAAAACCTTTGGGCCAGTGGCTGTAGAGGTGATGCACCAGTAACACAATGCTGGAACCACATGGGAAGGTCTTAGGTTTATGTCCCATGGTTTCCCTTTGCATACCTGTAGCACATACTCAAGATCCAGGCTGGTTGAGATTGAGAGTGGATTGTAGCATATTAGGGGGCCTACCACCTGTTGTGGTTAAATCCCTTTAACTATTGTTTATATTCTATACACTCTATTTGTTATCTTTATTACTCCTTTCCTGCTGCCTACTAGAAAGTAAGCTTCATCAGATGGAATTTTTGTCTGTTTTGTTCACTACTATAGCCTCAGCATCTAGAAAAGAATCTTCTAGAGTCAGTGCTTAAAAAAATATTTGTTGAATAAATGAAAGAATGTCACTCCTTTAGTCACATCTTCTCTTACATCGTTAGCTTCTCCCTCCATCCTCATCTCTATCACCATACAAACATATCCAAGTATCAAAGTACACTGCCTGTCTTCACATCTCCATCTCACTACTGCCTGCCACTTATAACAGATCTTCAAAAAATTCATAGAAAATGTGAATTATGAAAAAATATGCATGAATTTCAAAATTTTTGCACCTAAATAAATTTTTACTTTAATTCCATTTTCCCACAACCTTTTTGAAATCCTATCATAGTTTTGTTGTATCTCATTTTAAAAATTGCTTAAGAATATGAAGTCTCGGGGCCAGCAGGTGGCATGGTGGTTAAAGCACTGGATTCCCACATGGCCGATTGTGGTTCGAATCCCGGACCTGGCGGCTTGCTTTCCTTCTCTCTCTCTGTCCCTCTCTGTTCAAATTGAAATAAACAAATGACTAAATAAATGAATAATAATAAAAAAAAGAATACGAAGTCTCAATTTCTTTTTTTTTTTTTTGGAGACGTTTTTGCTATAGGGCACATGCGCTCGCCAGACGAACAGTTTTAGACCTGGTGGCTTGCTTTCTCACTTTCTCTTTCTCTCTCTCTGTGCTAAAATTAAAAATAAATAATAACAAATAAAATTAAGTAAAAAAAATACTCCTGTTGTGCTTTGGAAGCATTAATATTTCTTCCTTCTTTTTCTTTTTAATTGCCAGGGGGCACCTGTGTTCCCCAAAGAGATAGGGAAAAGCTCCTCAAAATGGGTCATGGTCACGCTGTAGTTCCTTCTCCATTTCTCCATTCTATTGGGATTTGGAGCATATACACATACATGCCTGGCATGTTTTTTCAAGCCAAGGCTGAGATTTGAACCATGGTTGACCATGTGGGATCTGGTTTCCTTAACTGTTAGACTATGGGACTGGTCCCAGGAACATTAAGATTTCTGAAATAGTTATATTAATTGCCCAGCTGTCCAAATGGTGTTAGAACTCTGTGAAGGTGAGATTCATTTTGGATATCTTGGTGTCCTTCTAGTGCCTAGTAGAACTGGGAATTTAATAAGACAGATTGTTTTGTATTGAATTGTTTTGCAGATACAGTGGAAGGTCTTGATGCCCAGGTTGTAAATGGCTACATAATTCATGACTGGGAAAGCAAATCAGAAGTTCATATTCCTTATCCTCTATCAGAAAGCAATCAAGTGCAGAGTGGAAGAGCTTTCCATCATGGCAGATTCATCATGAGTCTCCGGAAAGCAGCAATGGCAGAGCCCAAGTAAGACTGCATCTTCAGATATATAATGTAAAAGAATTAACACATTTAAGTTTGACCTTTGTATGAGTAAGACTTTATAAATTCCCATGAATGTTTTGGGCACTGTTTAGGTTATCAATGTACTAAAATAAACTATAAGTCAGAAGAATATTAGCTATACAATACCTTTGTGCCTTTGTTAAGAACATTATATAGAGAATTTTCTTTTAATATGTAGAACTATAGAGAATTTTTCTTTAACTAAATAAAAATCGTGATTTTTTTTATGCAGTTGGAACTTAGAGGTTATACCTGTTATAACTAAGGTATAATTTTATGTGTGCTTACTTGGGAATTTGGGTTTGTGGTTGTGATACTTCTATGTCAAATGCAGACAGATGACTGCAAGGAGAAATCCTTTTCCGTTCGGGCCGAAGACTTAGTCTGAACTGAAGAATAAATAATTATATAGTTTATACACTGGAAATTGAGGAGGCTTTAAAAATGAGAACCCTCATGTGATTGGCATAAACTTAAGTGCTGAAAAAGCAAGCGAAAAAGTAAATGGACCAATCCTTAGTACTGAAAGGACTTCATACCCATGGAAGTAGCATATATTTATTATATAAAAATGGAAAAATACCTCACAATATAAAGAAGAGTAAAAATTATCTGTGATCTTTCTGACTAGAAATAACTACTCTTAATTTGGTGGTTAAACTCCAGTCTATTTTTCCTTTCTGTGTGTAAATGTTTGTGGGTATGTACTGCTTCTCTGCATGTATTTTATTTTTTAATGAAGATAAAAATCTAATGTTACTTTAAAAAATATTTAAAAAATCATTACATCAGTAATTATATTCAGTATTGATAAATTAGAAAATAAAGCCACACATAATTCAAAGACTCATTAAGATGTTTTGCTTTATTCATTTTAGACTTTTTTCCTACTGTATATACATAATTTGTGTACACATGTGTGCTCAGTTTATATGGGTTAACTAGAGCTAAGGAATAAAGAATTTATCATATCTAAATTGTTCAAGTGTGCTTCAATAGAAGTTTACTTGTATTTATCTTATAGTACAAACTTTATTGAAGGCATTGTGCTGCAGTTACTAGAGGAAGATGATATTGTGACGGGAGTTCAGTACAAGGATAAAGAGACCGGAGATATTAAGGTGAGATTTATCTAATGTGATCTCTCCCTAATAGATGTAGTTTTTCTTCTTTTTCTCATACCCCTGTAAAAAAAAGTAAGCTTTTATTTAATCACATGACTATGTTCTTTCTGTGTAACAGAATTGGTTTTAGATTGCAACACATTGCTTTTCAGAGTAGCTCATAATGCTGTGTCCACAACTTTTTTTTTTTTAATGGTACATGCCAGAGAGAGAGGGGGAGAATGCATCCTCTAATAGGCTGTGGCCATGCCACAATCCCTTTTCCATTTCTCCATCCTGTCAGGATTTTGGGTATGTATACACACATGCCCAGCATGTTTTTTAGTCTGTTGGGGTTGGGCCGTGTGGGATCTGGCTCCCTTAACTAATAGGCTATGTGTCCAGCCCTGTCTCAACTTTTTAAACAAAAGCCACTATATTAATAATGTTAAAAACTGAAATAAGAAATATACATGAGCAGAGATGCAGAGGGGAGCTGAAAGGGGGAAAAGGAACGATTTAATATATAATAAATTATTAAGGTAAAATCTTGTTGATTCTTCCAGGCTGCGCCATAAGGGTCCACCTCCTAGGAATTGTACTCTACTGAAGGCAGTTGCAAGGTTTCTCTGCTCATAGTATATTAATATAAATACCTATAACCATATGTACAAATATCCTTCTAAGCCCTAGCTATTGATTAAAAAACATTATATGAAGTTATAATATTCTAAGATAAAGGAATTTGAATTTGGTTAGTTTTTGGAATTTGTAATGAGATTCAGTATTTCGTGGCTTATGTTTACCTTTTAAGTATTTCCTCTATATCATCTATCAAAATGAATACTCCTAGATGGTTTGTATGGTAGAGCTGCAAATGGAGATGATCCTGAGGTACTCAGGGGAAGTGCATCTAAAGATTGTTTTAGAGGGAGATGGCATAATGGTTACCTTGCTGGACTCCCACATGGTCAACTGAGGTTTGAGTCTTGGAGCAGATGGTGTAAAATTTATGGCGGGTGTGTGTGTGTGCATGTCCAACGTTCCAAGAGGAGAATGGATGAGATGGGATTGCAGCCTGGCCATCCCCCCATGGGGTGATTTTTGCTTTCTGTCTCTGTCTTTCCTGTGAATGCACCTACCCTATGGCAGACATCTCTCTCTTAAAAAAAAAAAAAAAAAGAAAAAAGATCATACATTATTTTAAACTCCCATAATGGTTTCCTTAATAGCACTAACTATTCTCTAGAATGTTATTTGGTAATATATTTAAATCTATCCATGCACATATTTAAAGAATGGTCTTTAAAGAATGATGTATTTCTAACCATTTACTGAGTACTGTTTATCAATGTTACAGGAACTCCATGCTCCATTGACTGTTGTTGCAGATGGACTTTTTTCCAAGTTCAGGAAGAACCTGGTTTCCAGTAAAGTTTCTGTTTCATCTCATTTTGTTGGCCTTCTCATGAAGGTACTGTAGGAGTGTATTTAAAAATTGAAAGAATGTGGGGGTCATATGGGCAGCAAGATGGTGTCTGCCAGCAGGGTCGTGCAGGTAGTGAAGCCATATACACCATTAATAAGGTTTCCTGACAGAAGAGACAATCCTAAACCCAACGTATCAGAAGCTTTGAGGTCAGCAGGGTTACCATCCCATTCTAATGCAGTTTCACAACATTCTAAGGGAAGTAAATCACCAGATTTGCAGATGTATCAGGGTCCACCAGACAGCAAAAAAATAAAAACTTACCTCAGAAACACAGAAGGAAACTGATGTCTCAAGAACAAATTGAATTGGGAACCAGCAGTTAGCGTAATGGCTATGTTGCTGGACTCCCACGTAGTTGACCGCGGTTCGCGTCCCGGACCTGGTGGCTTAAAACTCATGCTGGGCGCGTGTGCGTGCGTGCCCAAGATCCCCAGAGGAGAATGGAGGTGAAGGGATTGCGGCGTGACCATCCCCCCTGGGGGGTGATTTCTCGCTTTCTGTCTCTATGTCTCTGTCTGTCTGGCGAGCACACGCGCCCTATAGCGAAAACCTCTCAAAAAAAAAGAACAAATTGAATTTATCCAAAGTAGTGGTCCAGAGTAATTACTGTGGCTGCCGTTTTTATCAGAAAGAAGAATTGTCCTTACAATAAAGGACTTTGAAAATGACAAATGAGAAATTGTATATTAAACAATTTACTTTAATAAATAATCTGTTAAAAAAAAACGAAGGACTCCGGGCCACCGGATAATGTAGCAGTTACGTTGCTGGACTCCCTGGTTCAAGTCCTGGATCAAGTAGCTTGAAAATCATGCCAAGTGTTTGTGCATGAGTGCCTAGGATCCTGAGAGGAAAATGAAGAGATTGTGACATGGCCATATCCCCTGAGGGGTGATTTCTTACTTTTCCTCTCACTGTTTCTGTCTCTCTTTCTGACGAGCACATGTGGCTTAAGACAAAAAGTTCTCTAAAAAGAAAAGTTAAAAAATTTAAAGAACTTGAAATTGGAAAATTATTAAAATATTTTATTGTTATTTTTTTTAGAATGCACCACAGTTTAGAGCAAATCATGCCGAACTTGTTCTACTTAACCCGAGCCCAGTTCTCATCTACCAGATTTCATCCAGTGAAACTCGAGTATTAGTTGATGTTCGAGGAGAAATGCCAAGGAATTTAAGAGAATACATGGTTGAAAAAATTTATCCACATATACCTGGTAAGATTTAGGATTTTTCTCCTGTCATAATCTACAGTGTGAAAGTAAATCCCACAAGAGGCTTTCTGTCTTCACTAAAGCTGTGTCTAAAATAGGCCAGAGATAAGGATGGCAGGTAAAAAGTGCATCTAGTCAACTAATTACACTGGAGCTTTAAACTAATATGTTAAAAACAAAACAAAACAAAACAACCTACTCTGAATTAAAAAAATGTTTTAATACTTTTTTTTATCAAATACTTAAAGTATATTCTTCAGAATAATTAATATTGGCATATATACTTTTTAAGGTAGCTTGGACAGCAATTGAAGGTCTCTGAATTCTTGAAATATCTCTTAGTACTTCTCTGTTTTCTGCTTTGTTTTTATAGTAATGATAGCTCTCAGTTACAGCTCTCAATTAACATTTGTCTACTTATGTAGTAGAAGTTTGATAAATGTGTACTATATAAGAGGTATTTTACAAACATAATTTTATTTAGTCTACACAACCACCCTATGAGGTAGGCAATATCATGATTCCCATTTTACAGATGAGAGAACTAAGGTTCAGGGAGATTACTTACCTTCTCCAAGGAAATAAACTATTAATAGTGGCAGAACTAAGGTTGATATCAGGTCTGCCTAGCTCATAATATACCCACTCTAACACTCCTTCCCTTTAATGTGAGAGCTGTAAAGGATCTTTGAGATCATTTTGGTTTTGAGCTGAAAGGCTTCATGAGTCAAGCAGTAGTGGCAAAGAGATACTGTATCCATATGGAAGACTGGATTTGGTTCTTGTGTTGATACTACACATTGGGCATACATTCATGGGTACCATGGGAAGCTGGGAAAAGAAGATAGCATGATATCCTATTGAGTGTGCTTGTCCTCTCTTTTCTGTTTCTCATTCTCATGGAAGAAATAAGTAACTTAAAAAAAGACTTCATGAGATTTTTAGACATGTTTGCAAGCACTCATAAAAATGATTTCTTAACAAATTCTACATTTTTTATGGTACTGGTATTTGTGTATGTGTGTGTTTCAATTTGTGGATGGGGAGAATGGGAAGATGTAGAAAAAATGTAATTAATTTTTGGGAATTTTAGTAGAATTGAAGGAACTCCTCATCATTTATAATATGATAAAAGTTAAAGGAAACCATCCTTAGTATGAGTACATTTTGTTTAATTTTTTTTTTTCAAGTTATTATTTTTTAGAGGTTTTTTTTTTTTTTTTTTCACCTTAGGATGTGTGCATTCACTGGAGAGGTAGAGAAAGAGAGAGAGAGACAGACACAGTGAGAGAGAAAGTAAGAAATCAACCCTCAGGAGGATGGCCACACCACAATCTGTTCTCCTCCATTTTCCTTCCAGGATCTTGGGCACATATGCACATGTGCCCACTGTGATTTTAAAGGCACCAGGTCCAGGACTCGAACCTCAGTTAGCCATATGGGAATCCAGCGATGTAACACCTATGCCATCTGCTGGCCCCTCAAGTTACTTTTTAAAAATAGAATTATTTAACTTTATTTAAGTAATTAATTAATTTATTTAATCATTTTAATTTTACCAGAGAGGGACGGGGGGCGGGGGAGAGAGAGAGAGAGAGAGAGAGAGAGAGAGAGAGAGAACGAGAGCAAGAGCAAGAAAGCAAGCTGCCAGGAGACTTGAACCTTGGTCAGCCATGTGGGAGTCCAGTGCCCTTAGCCACCACACCACCTGCTGGCCCCCTTCAAATTTTTAAAAAACTAAGCAATATCATTCTTTTAATAACTCATATAGTAAGATATTAACATATATGAAGTGAAATCAAGTGGGAAGCTTAGATTTTTTACTAATGAATTTTAACTTACATCTATGAAAATATATTATTAATTTTTCACTTCTGAAGCTTTGAGACAAGAAAATTATGAAAACAGCTGTCCATTACTGAATATAGTTAGCATTTATTTTCTTCTACTGTAGATTTTTTTTTTTAATAATGTTAATTGGAACAGACTGCTCTCATGAAGAGAAATCATTTGTAGGTTTATCTTAATATTAGTTAAGTTACTGAGGTTCTACTCTTTGTATGAATGGACTAGTTTAACATAGGCATTCTAATCCATTCCTAGAATAAATTGAGAACCAAGTAGTAGTTTTCTATATAAGTAGAAGCACAAAACTTTAAAACTGGAAAGTATCTCAAAAATGAGTTAATGTAACTATTTTATAGATGAAGAAACCGGAGCTCAGAGAGGTAGAGCTGGCTTCTGTCTCTAAATCTACATGTTTTTATAGCATACATCACCTCCTGCCATTGTGACTTGGTATAGTATATTTCATCTGATATTGTCAGAATATATTGATGCCAATAAAGTAAATATTAAATATTACAGTTAACATTTGAAAGAGAGCTGGGTGGTTTTTTCTTGTCGCATCTCATCTGAATTCACCTTCTCTCTTCCTCTGGTTTCTTAGTTCTTTCGAATATATGTAATGTCTGTTTTCATTCATTTTTTCTTAGATCTCTTAGTCATTCTTTAGCATGAATAATGATGTGCTTAATGAATAATTGTATTAGTTAAACAGGTAATTGTACTTGATTTTTCACAGGGGACATATAGAACAACCATAATGGTAGGTATTTTTTTATATTAAGAAAACATGTTATTGATTATTTGAAACTGAAATGTTATAAACCATTTATTTGGTGGGTGGGATTTATTACAGATCATCTAAAAGAACCATTCCTGGAAGCCACTCAGAATTCTCGTTTGAGGTCTATGCCAGCAAGCTTCCTTCCCCCTTCACCAGTAAACAAACGAGGTATTTTATTGGACTTGCTTTATAAAGGAGTTGATATTTTATTTTATTTAGAGTTTTTTTTGCTATAGGGCGTGTGTGCTCGTCAGAAAGAGAGACAGAGAGACAGAAAGCGAGAAATCACCCCCCAGGGGGGATGGCCATGCCGCAATCCCTTCTCCTCCATTCTCCTCTTGAGATCTTGGACATGCATGCATGCGTGCCCGGCGTGAGTTTAAGCTACTGGGTCTGATACTTGAACCACGATGGACTATGTGGGAGTCCAGCGACATAGCCATTATGTCAACTGCTGGTCCCAGGAGTTGATATTTTAAATAACATATATGTGATTAAACTTATTCTTCTCAGAATAATGTGGGACATAGAATTGGTTGCTATGGACTAATACATTACTGATAATACCAAAATTAGTTTTAGGATATATTTAGTTATTATTTAATAACAAGTATGTATATATTGCTGTGCTAGTCGTTGGGGATACAGTTAAAAGATAGTTTTGCTAATGGGTATAGGATTTCTTTTTAGGGTCAAAAAAATGTTTCAAATTTGATAGTGGTGATAGTTGCACATACCTTTATTCATTTTACACTTATTTATTTATTTATTTATTGGTAGAGGTTTTAGCCTTAGGGCATGTGTGTTTGCCAGAGAGAGAGAGACAGTGAGGGAAAGTGAGTGATCATCCCCTATGGGGATGGCCACACTGCAGTCCCTTCTCCTTTCCCCTCTCAGGATCTTGGGCACCATGAACACACGCCTGGCATGAATTTCAAGTCACCAGGTCCAGGACTTGAGCCATGAATGGCCATTTGGGAATCTAGCGTAATGGCTATACCAACTGCTGGTCCTGACTTTGCACATTTTTTTAAATTGGGCAAATTAAAAATTTTATATTTTCAAGTTGTAAGAGTTTTAAAAATATATTCCAGGTACAAATTTCTTCTGAGATATATGATTTGCAAACATTTTCTCATTCTGTGGGGTTTTTTTCATTCCTCCCCACACTTTTCTTGATGGCATCTATTGAAGTACATTAAGTTTTTAATTTTTATGAAGTTTGGTTTATTTTTATTACTTTTGATGTTATATTTTAAGAAGACTTTGCCCAGCCCAAGGTCACAAAGATATATTCCTAAATATTTTTCTAAAAGTTTTATTATTTTAGCTATTATATCTTTATTTCTTTGATCCATTTTGAGTTAGATTTTTTAAAAGAGTTATTTATTTATTTTTCTCTCTTTTTTTTTTTGGAGAGGTTTTTGCTATAGGGCGCGTGCGCTCGCCAGACAGAGAGAGACATAGAGACAGAAAGTGAGAAATCACCCCCCATGGGGGATGGTCACGCTGCAATCCCTTCTCCTCCATTCTCCTCTCAGGATCTTGGGCACGCACGCTCCCCGGCGTGAATTTTAAGCCCCCAGGTCCGGGACGCGAACCGCAGTCGACTACATGGGAGTCCAGCGACATAGCCATTACGCTAACTGCTGGTTCCCTAAACGAGTTATTTTTAATTTAACTTTATTTATTTATTTATTTATTTATTTTAATTTTTCCAGGAAGGGACAGAGTGTGTGTGTGTGTGTGTGTGTGAGAGAGAGAGAGACAGAGAGAGGGAAAATGAGAAAGCAAGCCAACAGGTCCGGAACTCAAACCGTGGTTTACTATGTGTGAGTCTAGCACCCTTAAACACCATGCCACCTACCAGCCTCCAGTTTGAGTTAAATTTTATGTATTATGGGACCAGTAGGTGGCATGGGGTTAAGGCACTGGACACTCCCGCATAGCAGATCATGGTTCAAGTCCCATACCTGGTGGCTTGCTCACTTTCCTTCATTCTCTCTATGTGTGTCTCTCTCTGGTCAAATTGAAATAAATAAATAAATGAATAAATAAAATTAAATAAGTAATTATATAAAAGTGAAATATACCCATACCCTAAAATAATTATGTGTCATGTGATAAAGGGGTCCAACTTTGTATGAAGATATTTAGTTGTCCTAGTACTGTTTGTTGGACAAACTATTCATTCCCCATTGAATTGGTTTGGTACTCTTATTAAAATTTAAGAGTTTCTTTCAATAATATTTTGTAGTTTTCAGATTTTAAGTTTTACATGTTATATTTATTTCTTAATATTTTACTCCTTTTGGTGCTACCATAAATGGAACTATTTATTTAATTTTAAGATTGTTCATTGCTGGGACCAGCAGTTAGCGTAATGGCTATGTTGCTGGACTCCCACGTAGTCAACCACGGTTCGAGTTCTGGACCCGGTGGCTTAAACTCATGCCGGGTATGTGTGTGTGCGTGCCCAAGATCCTGAGAAGAGAATGGAGGAGAAGGGATTGTGGCGTGGCCATCCCCCCTACGGAGTGATTTCTTGCTTTCTGTCTCTCTCTCTTTCTGGCGAGCACATGTGCCCTATAGCAAAACCCTCTTCAAAAAAAAAAAGATTGTTCATTGCTGGTGTATAGGAATATAATTGATTTTTGCATTTTTTTCTTATGTCTTGAAACCTTGTTGAACTCATTTATTCTAATAGTTCATTAAAAAGTTCAAGATTTTAAGTGGTGGCATGATTAGATTTTTATTTTAGAAATATTACTCTGAGGCCTGCCCTGTGCCTAATGATTAATGGAACCAAATCCTACATTGTGGACTGTGGGTAAAATCTTAGCCCAATAGGCTAATCCCAGGAGGAGACTGGAGAGGAAGGGATTGTGGCATGGCCATTCCCTCTGGGGGATGATTTCTTACTTTCTGTCTCTCTGTCTCACCGGCAAGTGCACACACCCTATAGTAAAAACCTCTCTAAAAATAAAAATAATTAGTAGTATCTAGGATGTAAAAATTTATGAAATTCAGTGATTAATTAGATATTATAGTAAGAAAGATATTGATAGATTCAAGTTTTAGGCTTAGGTAGTTTTGCTAGCTACTTGCTGTCATAGGAATAGGAGAGTTAATAAGTTTAGGGTAGTGTGGGGATAGGTGATGAGTTGGACATGTCGGGTATGAAGTACCAGTAGGGCATTTGAGTGGGGATGTATGGAAGTACTCCCTTGAAAACAGGAAACTGGAGCTCAGAAAAGAGGTCTAAAATAGGAGCTGTCAGAATGCTCTGATTCCTTAACACTGTATTGATTTTGTCTATAGCCTGCTATAAACTCGTGTATAATGAACTACCCACAGTCAGCCTGTTATAGAAACACATGTATGAGAAATGACCAACCATATAAATAAACTGATGTAGAAAAGAATCAAGCCAATGCCAAATCAAGCCAAACAGCATGCTGTGGGAACATATTCTAATTGGTTGGATTGTAAATATTCCATGGAGAAGGAGGAAGAGCTGGATATAATTTGTAGCTTTTTAATGAAGTTAGAGTAATACATCCAAATCTGGATTATCCATAAAGAAAATAATTATGCATAATTTTTTGACTTTTCCACTAGTATTATGGTATTTATTTCTTTTACAGATAAAATTAAGTCAATGCTTTGTTTAAAATAAAAGTCATTAAGCTAAATCACAGGTCATTAAGCAAGCCAATAACAGAATCCCAAAGTCATCCCTTCTTGTCTTGTCTAAGATGAAGTGTAGAAATCTTAGAATCAGGCAGGAAGTACACCTGGAGCCAAATTATGGAGCTTTTTGCTTCTGTAGTATTGATTTAAGGGGGTTTATTTTCAGATAAGATCCAATCTAGATTTATTCTATTAAATTAACGTTAGATAATTTTGAGAATACAGGCCTATTTTGTCTTCTACTTGTACTACACTGTGGCTGGGTAGATCTTCCTAGAGCATACTTTCTCTTAGAACTGTATAGACATTTCTCTGTTGTGTGCTGCCAGTGAATTTTCGTGCTAAATATCAGACATCTTGACTTTTTTTTCCCCTCTTGTACAAGAATTACTTTATATGCCTAGATGCCTATAGATTCTGTTATTTTTGTTTTATTATAATTTTTGATTCTTTTATTTTTTTATAGAATTAATTATTTTTTAAAAATTTGCTATAGGGCACATGCTCTCACCAGAGAGAGATGAAGTGAGAAAGCAAGCCTCTAGGTCTAGGATTGGAACCATGGTCAGCCATGTAGGAGTCCAGCTCCATAACCATCACACCACCTGCTGCCCCCAATATGTTATTTTGAAAGAGGCTTTAAAAATGTATTGGCTTAAAAAAAAGTATTGGCAAGGCTGGCAGGTGGCGTGGTGGTTAAGGGTGCTGGACTCCCACATGGCCGACTGTGGTTCGAGTCCTGGACCTGGCGGCTTGCTCTTTCACTTTCTCTTTCTCTCACTCTGTCCCTCTCTGGCCAAATTTAAAGAAAGAAAATTAAAATAATAAAAATAATTCTTAAAAGTATTGACATTAGATTTATACCAGAATTTTAAGAGGGAAGAGAGCATACTCTTATTCTCACTGTATCCCCAGTGCCTGACACATATTAGATACATAATAAATACTGACTCTTATCAATTGTTGAGTTTTTCCTCAACAAATATTAGTCATAATTCATTCCCTTGTATTTCCATATTCTTATTTAGCTCACATCAATAATGGTTATACATTAATAGAGTAGTTCTATTTTTCTTTTTTTTTTTTCTGTTTGGTCTCAGGGAATGCTCCAGGAAGTCATCATCTGTTAATGATCTCTCTTCACAGGTGTTCTTCTTTTGGGAGATGCATATAATATAAGACATCCTCTTACTGGTGGAGGAATGACTGTTGCTTTAAAGGATATAAAACTGTGGAGAAAACTGCTAAAGGGTATCCCTGACCTTTATGATGATGCGGCTGTTTTTCACGTAAGATACTATTCTTTGACAGAAATTGCTTAAAATAGGTTTCTTTCTTTCTTTCTTTCTTTCTTTTTTTTTTTTTTTTTTACATATATGATCAGTTATTAATTAGGTTCTTGGCAAAAAAATCTAGAACACCAATTTGTGAGGATAAACTCCATTTGTAAGGGCAAACACAGATTGCAGGTAGCCCTGGAGCTGAGGAACAGCTTTGATTTTTGGTAAAATTTACGAATCCACAGCTTTCTGATCAATCTTGCGCTGCTCTGAAATCTCGTATTTCTCCTTCTCTGTGTCGAAGATCTCACCTTCCTGGTGTCTGGGCTTCCGCAGTTTCTTTTTCTTGAAGTAAGCATCGGTAAGGTGCTTTGGGATTTTTACTTTGCTAATATCAATTTTCGTGGAGGTGGCAATGATAAATTTCTGGTGTATTCTACGTAGTATTGAGAATCAGTGGTTCAGTTACAAGTAGCAAGCTACTGCTCTGCTGCTTCAGGAAAACCACTCTCTTGCCTCTGTGGCGTCCAGTGAGGATAATCAGAATGGTCCCAGGAGTGGTGCTGGCTCGCAGCTCTCTCACACGCTGACTGAAGGTTTTTTTGCCGTGGCTCAACAGCTTTCGAGGCACATCTTCAGTAGGATAATACCTAGGCATTGTGCGCAGTTTAACCACCCAGGTTCCATCATTCTTGTCTCTACCAACCGGTTTTGTGACAGTCACAAGAACCTTCTCCTTTTTCTTTTCGATCCTGGATTTAGTGGCCGAGTATTTCCTCTCGTACATGGCCTTCCTGGAATACATGGCAGAGTGGGAGTATCTGCCGATGCCCCGGACTAGGATGGGGTTTCGGCTGCAATGGGGCTTCTCCTTCTTGGGCTTTTTAGCCTTGGGGTCACCCTTTTTAACCTTGCCACTGGCATCAGCCTTCGTGGCTTCTGATTTCTTCTCCTTAGTGTCCTGCTTTGCAGCTTTATCGCCTGCCATTGTGTACAGTCGGGAAAAGAAAATAGGTTTCTTTCTGAGGGCTAAGGATAATTGATCTCAGATGGGGAGATCTATTCTTAGGAGTCTGATACTTCAAAATAGTTTTAGGGAAATCTTCAGGCTTCAAGAACTTGTTTTGAGCCTATGATTTACTGAATCTCTGACTTTATTGGGTCATTGGAAAAGTCATGATGTATTTTTCTATGCAAAATTGTGTTATGACTCTTCTCACAACCCAGTATATTTGACTGCTATGTGACACTGAATTACCATAGGCCACTGTGCTTAGAGTGGTTGTAAATTTAGCTTCTGGATCTGTAATGCATTTCTCTGAAGATGCTTTTTTTGTAATGATAAAAGACAGTATTACTTGCAAATGGTCTTCAGGATAAATATCTGAGGGGATTACATAAATCAGTTTTTGCTACTTTTTGTTTTTCTTTACCATATAATAAGTACCCTTTTTGGTTTTCAGGCCAAAAAATTATTCTATTGGACAAGAAAAAGGTCTCATTCCTTTGTTGTGAATATCCTTGCTCAGGCTCTTTATGAATTATTTTCTGCCACAGACGGTAAGTATAGATTTTGTTGTTGTTGTTCATAATAGAACATGTATGTATGCCAGTGCACAAAAGAGAAAAGTACCCTCCACAGGACCTGGTCATACCTCCAGTCCTCCAGCTTTCCAGGATCCTACATGCTTGGCATATTTCAGGCAAACTGGGCCAGGGACTCAAACTATGCCCACGTGTGACTTTCAGCTCTGTATCCCAGTACACTACTGACTGTGCCACAGTGGCTGGGCCAATATTTTTAAATGAATATTATTGAATTGTGGGGTTTTAGCATAGGAAAGGAACTTAATTCCCCAAATGTAGTGATTAACCCACAAGAAAGTTTTCTGAGTTTGCTGACTCCCAAGTTGGTATGTTTTTTTAAATATTTATTTGATTTGTTATTATTATTTTTTAACTTGACGAGAGAGAGAGAAAGAGAAAGTGGGAGATCAAGTTGCCAAGTCCAGGACTCAAACCATTGTTGGCCATGTGGGAGTGCAGCACCTTAACCACCAAACCACCTGCTGGCTTCGGTATTTCTTTTTAAGTCCATCATTGAGCAAGATTTTCAGTTTCTAATCATCACTATCCACCACTTTGTCTGGAAGGCTGCTTTCCTTAGACCACATTAATAGCAATATCCTAATAACATTAGTTTTTTTAATTCCTCTGGTCCAAACTAGATCATGTATATCCCTTAAGAATGTGATGGAAGGTCTTCCTGGCCATTTATTAAAAGGCATCATAGGGAGCAGTAGAGGGCATAATAGTTATGTTGCTTGACTCCCACATAGTTGACTAAGGCTTGAGTCCTGGACCTGGTAGTTTAAAATATACTGGATGCGTGTGCATGCGTGCCCAAAATCCCAGGAGGAGAATGGACAAGAGATTGTGGCTGTGACCATTCCTTCTGGAGGGTGATTTCTTGCTTTCTGTCTTTCTGTCCCTGGCAAGTGCACGTACTCTCTAGCAAAAATCTTAAAAAAAAAAAAAAAAAAAAAAAGCATTATAGTCTTTTTCTTCCTAATTTATAACAGCTTCTGTTTATAGTAGTAGTTTATAAAATAAATATGAGCTTCAGGTCAAATGTACAGTTTCTCCTCTGTTAAAATGCACAAGTAGCAGAATATATTCACTCATTTACTTATTTGAAATATTCCTGTGCTATTGTTTTGTTTCTTTTTATTTCTTTTCTTTTTTTTTGAGAGGTTTTTGCTCTAGGGCATGCGCGCTTGCCAGAAAGGTAGAGAAGGACAGAGAGACAGAAAGCGAGAAATCACCCCCCAGGCGGAGATGGCACTGCTGCAATCCCTTTTCCTCTGTTCTCCTCTCAAGATCTTTGGCACACACGCACATGCACCCAGTGTGAGTTTAAGCCACCGGGTCCGAGACTTGAACCGCGGTTAACTATATAGAAGTCCAGTGACATAGCCATTACACCAACTGCTGGCCCCGCTTTTGTTTCTATATTGTAGAGAGGTGATGGCCAATCTATATATTAAGGAAAAGGTGACTTAGCAGAGGTAGCATTAGAACTGCAGGAAAAGGCCACTGTCTACCTCCCAACCATAGCAATGTACAAGTCAGTTATGAAACTAGCCTGTTAGGTTTTAATAGTAAATTAGACTCAAATCCCATTACTCCAGAATATTTGCAACAAAGCTGTTGGTATGAACCAGCTGAGGCCCTAGTAATCAGTGCTTTGGTAATGGATTACAAATTGTTGCAATATAAATGCTTTCTGTAGCCTCTAATCAACACTTACTAAAAGAAACATCTTGATTGTGATTTGCCAAAGAAATCTCTCTTGTTAAATTGGCTTAGAAGTTAAAATGGCTAGTCGGGAAAATAAAAGCAAAAGTACTAAGTTTTGACTTTTCCTTAGTTGTTCTAAGCTTTTCTCAATTTACCTATGTTTTTTAAAATTTTTAATTAAAAAGTTTTAAAATGATTTAACTTATTACTATTACTTTAAAGTTTGTGTGCTCATGGGGTGGGGAGTGAGAAAACAGAGAGGGGACGCCTGAGATTTGAACTGCAGTTGACCATGTGGGTGTCCAGCACCTTAACCACCACGCCACCTGCAGGCTCAGCATCTTTTTTTTAAATCAGTTTTAAAAGAAAAAAGACATACCTGAAAATAACATTGATTTTAAACTATTAAAAAAAGTAAGATTGATTATACTATGTCATGGGAATTTAATGAATTTTTTTGAAAAGTATTAAAAACTAGGCATTATTATTAATATTCATAGCTCTTCTTGTTACTTGATAATTTACTACTTAAGAGATATGAATTGGGTACCTTAGAGTCTGGGAATTTTGTTTCTAGAATTTTTTTTTTTCATTTTAGCAGTTTTTTAATAAGAACGGTAGATAGGATTATTTTACTCCTGCATCTTTTCGATCGTTTCTTTCTTTATATTTGCCCTTTTCCTTTCCCACTTGGTGAGACTTGGGTTTCCGTTCAAGGATCTTTTTGTGGTCTTTGTCCAGCTTTAGTCTAGTGATAACCACCTTGCTGGGGTGAATCCCCACATGGACCATTGTGCCATTAGCCTTTTCCTGCTGCACCCGCTCAATATAGATGACATGTTTCTTCCTGTAAACTTGGACCACTTTGCCAATTTGCTGTCCTTTATAGTGTCCTTGCACAACCTGAACTTCATCGTCCTTTCGGATGGGCATAGATCGCACGTTGTACTTCTGCCTCAGCTCTTTGGAAAGGGAGGAAGGCATTATTTTCCTTTGGATGTGGGAAGGTGCATTGAAATGCCTTTTACAGTTCTTGCTTTGGCCAGAAGTCACGAAAGGATTGAACTTCATTTTGGCCGCTGCAGCTCTGGCGATGGCCGTGCTAGAATTATTTTTTTAATAATAAAAAGAGCTTACAAAATTTTTTTTATCATTTAATGAAAAATTAAAAGTAGCTTTCAAACAACGCTTTTTTTTAAAAAAAAGAATTATTTAAATTAATTTATTTATTTTAATTTGACCAAGGGACAGAGTGAGAAAGAGAAAAAGAGAGAAAAGAAAGTGAGAAAGCAAGCCACTGGGTCCAGGACTTGAACCACGGTCAGCCATGTGGGGGAGTCCAGTGCCTCCAACCACCACACCACCTCCTGACCCCCAAACAACTTTTAATTTCCAAGACCTAAATGTGAATAATTACTTAGTAACAGGAAAAAGTTTATTTATATTTATGTCACTACACTAATGTTGATTATGGAATTTAAAATACTGGTTGCTGAAATTCTAGGAATAGATGCTTTTAAATTACTTATAAAGTTTGGTATTTGCTATATCTTATTTTTTCTGATAGGTCATTAGTACTCTAGCATTAATGTGCAAATATTTTGATTAAGAGTAATTTTTAAAATTTTATTTTAGATTCCTTGCATCAACTAAGAAAAGCCTGCTTTCTTTATTTCAAACTTGGTGGAGAATGTGTTGCTGGTCCTGTTGGGCTGCTTTCTATGTAAGTTGTTTTGATAGCAGAGGGGACACAATAATCCAGATTTTCTTAGGACTGTTTAGATTATAATTATTGCAAATATTTCTTTCTTATACATTTTATTATTATATTGTCTACTAGTATCCCAATCAGGTGACCTAGAGAAATGAAACACAGGCGACATTTAGTACTTTGTTTTCCTTTTGGGAAACAGCATTGATAAGTGCGAGTAGAGGAGGCTAAAACCTCTGATTAAAATAGAAGCTTGTTTTTTTTTGCTTTGGGTTTATACATGTGACCTGGTCTGTGTGAGTCACAAATCAGTGAGAAATTTTATTTTAAAAATTATTTTGATTAGAGTACAGGGACTCATGAAACTCTGAAATTCTGCAGACATACGTGAAACTATCCCCAGAAAGTCTGCAAAGTGAGATTCTTTGATTAATTTCTCATTCATCTGTAACCAGCATGTCAGTATTGATATCTTTTGAAAAAAACCTGTACTCCATTGAGGCAATACATCTAGGTGTTACATCCTTGGCCAGCCTAGGATGCCAAGATTAGTGAAAGAAAACAGCTCAAAATACGTGAATTATGTAAACTAGGATGGGAGTGATTAGCTTCTTTGAAAGGTATATATTCTAAATAGTTTCTTATTTAACAAATATGTGTGTGTGTGTGTGTGTGTGTGTGTGTATGTGTGTATGTGTGTATTCATCCCTCAGTATCCATTGGGAATCGGTTCTAGGACCCCATGCAGATACAAAATTTGGTGGATGCTTGTTTATTAGTGTAATTACAATATTTGCATACAACCTACACACATACTTCCCATGTACTTTAAAATAATCTCTAAATTACTTACTGTACTTAACAAAGTAAATATCATGTAAATGGTTTTTATACCATATTTAAAAACCTTTATTATTTTAGATTTTATTTTAAAATTTAATTTTGAATATTTTTAATATGTAATTGGTTGAATCCATGGATGTGGAATCCATAGATAAGGTGGACTGACTTTATTTGCTTCTGCCATTCAACTTAACAGGCTGGTGTTAGTTTATTAAGTCCTGGAAAATGTGAGGATGTGTGTTCAGCTTTAGAGCTAATACATAATTGAAACTCATTGAATACATTTTAATTTCTGAGTCTTACCAATATGTGCTTTTTTTCCCCCCCTATTACAGATTGTCTCCTAACCCTCTAGCTTTAATCGGACACTTCTTTGCTGTTGCCTTCTATGCCATATATTTTTGCTTTAAATCAGAACCTTGGATTACAAAACCCAGAGCCCTGTTCAGTAGTGGTGCTGTATTGTACAAAGCGTGTTCTATAATATTGCCTCTAATTTACTCAGAAATGAAGTATGTGGTTTATTAAGCTTAAGGAGGAACCATCTGTGAATGAATATTTGGACCTCACCAAGTCCTCGGAGGCTTTTGGAAAAGGATGTAAATAGCATTGTACTTTTACCACTTCTAAAGCAGACACTCTTGGACCAAGATTGGAATTAATTTGAAGTTTTGTATATAAACATATAAATACATGCTGAGATTTAAAATGAAGGGTAAATTAAGTTTAGATATTTAAAAGAAATGACTGTTACCATAAATTAGGTTTAATACTGAGGAATTAAGTTTTTTTTGAATTTGGTTATTTGGGACAGGTTGTTGGGACATGCAAATAAAATGAAGAATGAACCTTCTTGTCTTTTTTTTTTTTTTTGTGTGTGTGTGTGTGTTGTGGACTTCTTTATATTGACTTATGATAATGGAAAAGAAAGCCAAAGTGGGATGGATGGGAAGTACAGAGGAATACTTCTTCTATTAAAAAACTCGGACTTTGAGGGAGTTGCCTTATCTCAGGACCTTATTTTCCTCCTCTATCTATGATGCAATTTTATAAAGTTATTTTCTGAAAAAACTACACTCATATATGAGAAGCAGGCATGAGCCTTATAAATAACACTGTATACCATTAATAAGCAAGGCTAGGGTTATTTCAATAAACAATGAATAGATAAATCAGTGTTTGTAATATCTGATCTAATAATGCCTTTAAAATCAGTAGAAATTTACTGATTAGTTTAAAGTAAATTTGTAGAAATTACAGGCATTTGTAGGGTATCATGAAATGTCAGTGTGCATGAACTATAATGAAAGCTAATTTTTTTTTTAGAGGTTTTTGCTATAGGGCGCGTGTGCTCACCAGACAGACAGACAGACAGAAAGCGAGAAATCACCCCCCAGAGGGGATGGCCACGCTGCAATCCCTTCTCCTCCATTCTCCTCTTGGGATCTTGGGCACGCACATGCGCCCCGCGTTGAGTTTTAAGCCACCGGGTCTGGGACGCAAACTGCGGTCGACTATGTGGGAGTCCAGCGACATAGCCATTACACTAACTGCTGGTCCCATGAAATCTAATTGTTATCCTGAAAGAGCAGTGATATAACCTGGAAAATTAAGTAACTACTTGAGATTCTAATTATTAGGGCTAAAATGACTTACCAAGCTTTTTTTGCTATAGGGAGTGTGTACTCACCAGAGACACAAAGTGAGGAATCACCCTGGGGGGGGGGGGGGGGGGGGCAATCCCTTCTCCTCCATTCTCCTTTAGGGATTTTGGGCATGCATTCACACACACCTGGCGTAGCTGCCGGGTCCGAGACTCGAACTGCTGTTGACTACATGGGAGTCCAGCAATGTAAACATGTCATTCTTTTGGCATATACATTTGCTAGACAGAGAGAGCGAGTGACTTCCCAGAGGGGATGGCCATACTGCAGTTCCTTTTCCTCTAGTCTCATTTTGAGATTCTGGGTAGGCATGTCATGCACCTGGCATGTTTTTCAAGCTACTGGGTCCAGAACTCAAAACTCTGGAGTTGGACATGTTAACCATCTGCACCTTAACTACCACACCACCTGCTGGCCCCGTAAAGGTTTTTAAAATTAATTTAAAATTTTTTTTTTTTTTTAATAGGGCGCATGCCCTGTCCAGAGAGACAGTGAGAATTCAGCCACCACAGGGAGGATGGCCATTCTCCCCTCGGGATCTTGGGCATGCATGCACATGTGTCCGGCGTGAGTTTAAGCTACCGGTTTGGGACTGGAACCACAGTCAATTACATGGGAGTCCAGCAACGTAGCCATTCTCCTCTCGGGATCTTGGGCACGCACGCACACGCGCCCGGCGTGAGTTTTAAGCCACCGGGTCCGGGACACGAACCGCGGTCGACTACGTGGGAGTCCAGCGACATAGCCATTACGCCAACTGCTGGTTCCCCTGGTCTCAATTTTTTAAATTCTTAAAGTCAGTTGTGGTCCAATCACTAGCAAACAGTTTCAAACTTCACTTTGTCTTGTTTTAACAGCATATGGTAAACTAATTTACTTAGTATGAAAATCTCTATCTTAAACTTATGTTTTCTGGTTAAAAACTCAATTTCTTAGATCTAGCCTTTTTAGCATTTAGGTTTTCTTTTCACAGAGAATATCTCACTTTATCTGGGTGCTATTTAAAAAGATTGCAAATGGAAAGTAGCAAAATAGTTTCATTGAGACATTGATGATCCTATGTTACCATCCTTGGCAGGTAAGGCTTCCAGGCTCCTTCACATGCTGAGCAATAGTTCACTTACCCTGTTTTGGGCTTTGACACCACCACTTCTTCCTTCTTCTCCACCAATTCCTTTTAATTAATTTTAAGAGAGATTTTTGCTATAGGGTGTGTGCACTTCCCAGAGACAAAGAAATCACTCTCCCCAGGAGATAACCATGCTGCAATTCCTTCTCCATTCTCCTTTCTGGATTTTGGACATGCACACACACGGCATGGGTGTGAGTTTCAGTCTACTGGTCCAGGACTCAAACCACGGTTGGCCATGTGTCAGTCTAGTGCCATAACCACTACAATACTACAATACCTGCTGGCCTCACTGATTCCTTTTTGAATCATTCACACTATAATCAAATGATCAGACTCTGTAAAGTTTTTTCTTTTTTTTTTCCTTTCAGTATCTCAGAATTTGAGGCCTTCTGATAAAGGATGTTACCATAAAATCAAAAAACTGAACGACCCTGAAAAACAATTTAGCCCTGGGTTTGGAGCTATTGTTAACAGGTTAGTTTGAGATATGATTTAGCTAGGGGCAAACCAGGACTCAGACTTTGCCTCCTGACTCTAGATCAGTGTTGCTTACCTTGTAACTTACTAAGTGACTGATGTATTTTTTTGGTTCAGAGTTTGTTCTTTTTTTTTTTTTTTTTGCTAATTCCTTTTCTCTCCAGAGGACATAGCTATATATTCAGGGTAAAAACATCTTTCTTGTGGATGTCCAAATTGCCACAGTAGGATAGCAATTTCCTTTCCATGGTAATTTTCATGCAGAAGTGATTTAGGAGTTTGAGGGCATTAAAAGCTTAAAGCTTAGCATGCTTTCCTATCAAACATACATTAATTTAAAAAGTATATAAGGCTATGGATATGGTTGTGGGAAGCTGTGGTAGGAGTTGCTGAGGAAGGAAGAAGCTGGAAAGAGCAACTGAAGTTAGGGAGTCCATAGCAGTAATGCTGGAAGGGGACGGTGAGTCTTAGATACCAAGAAAATTCCCATATCACATATAGCACAGATTGTGTAGTCACTACATTTGTGACGAATCTGGCTATTGCCAAGTGCCTACCACTCTGTAATGGAGTGGGCTACTGTACCTACCAGAGTTATCTTCTAAATGATTTTTCACAGGGTCCACGTCCAGGATTTGAATTGTAAGCAGAGGGGACAACTTTGAATACTGGCAATACTATTTTATTGAAAATCTGGAGTTCCACAAATAGTTCTTTAGAACATAAAACTAAATGGATTTATTCATAACAATTACATTCAGCATTTATAAGAGGCAGTACAAAATGTGTCCTGCTTCTACATGATATAAATTGCATATAATACCATGATTTAAACAATTATGCTAACTTGTGCTGTGAGATACATCCTATTCAGAAGGTATGATGCTTCCCACAGGAGAAGGGGGAAATGCAGTTACACGAGCAGTTGAGATCTTTTCATTTCCAAATTCATTTTAGTAATGGCAAGGTTTAAAGACAATCCTTTCATTGAAGAAGTAGGAAAAGAGTTACAGGACTGTTCTGAACTCATCAAAAATGAAATTAGGCACATGTGCTTCAGCAACCTGAAAAACAATAGTTAAATTATTCATAGAGTTATAGTTGAACGCATTCAAAATTTTCTATATGAAAATTCAAGACATGAAGATATTCTTTGGAGCAAGGTGAATAACGGAAGAATTGGATTTACGTGGGTAGATCACTCCTTGAAACAGCCTCTTCTGTTGCTGGTGACCTCTGTACTACTAGCTCATTTCTTGGCACCACTAACCTATGAAGAGATGCCACACAACTCTCACTGCCTATGAACATGAGTTCCTTCTTGGCTATTAAAGGTACTTTGACCAGCTAGGAATGCCTCTGGGGAGTATGCGGGTCACCTAACAAATTATAATCATGACCAATTGAGGAGGAACGGGATATCTGACAAGTGACTGGGATGGTGGGGGAGATAATGAGAAAAGGAGACTAAATGGGGAGCAATAAGAAAAACCTTATATAAGAAGCACACATTCCTTGATTGTTCTGAGGGGAAGCCTGAAAAAGCTAAAACAGGTTGAATGGAGTAGAATGTAGAACTAAGTGGTCTGAGTAATTTCTAAAAGCAATGATTTTTCTCTGATTATAAAGGTTATCACCTGCTAATTAGATGAAATTTACAAATGCAGGCAAGCTTAATGAAATGCTCCTGGGGCCAGCAGGTGGCATGGTGGTTAAGGCACTGGACTCGCACATGGCCAGCCAGTTTTAAGTCCTAGGCTCACCACCCTGAAAATCACACTGGGTGTGTTTGTGTGCATTCCTAAGATCCCAAGGGAAGAATGGAGAAGGAATTGTGGTGTGGCTTTCCGCCCATTGGGGATGCCTTCTCACTCTTCCTTTCACTGTCTCTGTCTCCAGTGAGTGCAAGTTCCTATGGCAAAAACCTTAAAAAAACAAAAACCAAAAAACAAAACAAAACAAAAAAACAGAAATGCTCTCTAATCTTAATCCCTTAGAGAAAACTAAAATTGATATTATTCTGTATTGAATTCTTCCAGTAGATGCCCCCTCACTCACACTCTCTCAAAGTTGGTATTACATGACCTTGTATCCTTTATCTCTGCTAAATATGAATACCCTTGCACACACATCTTGGTGTACTTTTGCACATACATCCAGCAGGTAAATTCTTATCAGTGGAATTGCTGGAATCAGATGAAGCATATCACAAAAGTTTTAAAGAAGAGATAAAGCTAAACTACATTCCTCAAAGACTAAGCCAATTTACATCTCCAGGAACCGGACTGAGAAGTCCTGTTTCTCCAAACATATAGGGTTCAACATTATACTTTTCACCAATCTGATGGGTGGAAACAGTACTTTCACTGTTATTTTGATTTATGTCCCTTGCATAAAATTGAAGTTTAGCATTTTTCCTAATGGCTATAGGACACTTGTATTTCTTTTCCTGAAAACTGCCTGCTAATTCACTTTGCTGGTTTTTTTTTTCCTTTATTGGGATTTTTATTGAACTGGAAGAGCACACAACAGATCAAATAAACTGGTCTTTGGTTAATAGGTTTTAGGTTTTTGCC